TATCGAAAGAAAAAAACATTGTTGGTAACCTCGGCTCTTGCGCATTTCAAATTTTGACTTTCCTTTTCTTAAAACTAGAAGAATTGGATACTGTATCTTGGGATCCGATGAGCAATTTAGATTCACTTTTGTATTTTGAGAAGCGTGTTCCTCATTAACAATTGATACGCGTCTCCCCTAAAACTGTCAAGGCAATTGTTATTAATTGTCACATCTGGTTCAGTCAAGAGCCGCGTCTCGGGAAACAATATCTTTAGAATTTAGGGATGCGATAATACAAATATGCGGGCGCTATTTCATTTTATCCGAATGAAATAATTTGGTTTTAATTTTTACAAATTATAAGTTACGTAAACGCGTAATGGAAGTTCAACCATACTAAAAAGCAGATGAGGCATTAAATAGGATAGCACTACGCACTATTTAACACGTTCTTATTAGCTTAGATTGTTTGGAATCTTTGAACGTTATTTTCGGCAACTTCAAGACGTCCGATTAACTAAAAAATTCGCACACGAATCAAGGTCCGATGACGATATAACAATGTTGTATCTTCGCTCTAATACCCTGACTAGAAGTGAACAGGAAAAAATATGTTAGTACAGTTTCTATATGAGTGTCCGGGGGCCGGAGGAGGGATTACGCCCGTACATCCCGGCCCCTGTAGGTGGCGGCTTCTCCTCGGTGAAGGTCGAGGGGCGAGCTGAGGGGTAGAGAGCGCGCGGCACGCTACCAGCACTCTAGCGCGCTGCCAAGGAGTAATAGAGCAACCGGTTGGCGGTGTTCGCGTTCCGACCCGGCAGGCTGGTTCTGGTCCAGCGGGGTGGGTATTCAACAGGTATCGGTACAAATAAAGTCTTTTTTTTATTGCTTTGATGGGTGGACGAGCTCACATCCATCTGGTATGAAGTAGTTACTGAAGCCCATAGATATCTACAACGTAAATGCGCCACCCACCTTGAGATATAAGTTCTAAGGTCTCAGTATAGTTACAACGGCTGCCCCACCCTTCAAACCCAAACGCATTACTGCTTGACAGCAGAAATAGGCAAGGTGATGGTACCCACCCGCGCGGACTCACAAGAGGTCCTACCACCAGTAATTCCAGTGATTCAAGGGTTACTGGTGGTACTTTCCAGTTACACCAGGACAGATGGGCGAGCAAAGGTTCAGTCAGGAGGGGTGGGATTTACTAACAGCTGCCCGATCGCCTCCAAAGGAAATCTAATAACTCAAGAGCAACTAAATGTACTACTGTAATAGAATAGTAAATTCCGATTACATACCGCTGTAATTATCGGTAAATTTATGAAATCGATACGCTGTAACTACCATACCTACCTCAACGGATACATGCCAGATATCCTACGTAGTTTTAACATAGTTATTCAAAACAATTAAGTTACAATTGCAGGAACGACACTTAAAACAGATAACAAAACGCTCATATTATATGCTTATTGTTAATAATATTACGAGTGGTCTTAGCCTACGAAGTTGTCGTTTGGTATACAGAAAGATAAAGTTATTTAGAATTATTTTTTACGGCCAAGTTGATGGTGTTCAAGGTTCCCAAATACTACACCAACCTCGATAAGAACACACCTCTCAGCAGACTATATAGTTGGGGAATTAAACAAATTGCATAGCAAGTATTCTCTGGACGTTTTTGCTGGCACTGTTGACAGTTTTAGACGAGAAGTCTACAGCCTTGCCCAATGAGCTTTTTCAATTAAGTAATAGCGTATTTGGTAGTAAATGTGTAATAATGTAAGGTTTTCATTTAATGTTATATATAGTTTTTTTTTTTTTTTTACAACGAACCACTTTTTTTTATCAATGCATGCAGTCGGTACCTGTAATTGTGTTAGCATTTAGTGTGAGATCAACGTATATGATACCTGTAATGTTCTGTGCTGATGTATAACATGTTGGTACCCAATAAATAAAATTAAATTTAAATTAAAAATCAATCAGAATATACACCTATAGTATCGATGCGTCTCTGTCAGCGCAGTGGTAGGTAATCTTTCAATGCCCTTCTTCAAGAAGTCAGGTGTACGGCATTTTGCATAACAGACTCACTGTCACATTTCTGTTTCACGCAAACATACAATTTTCCTGGTCCTATCCCCTCATCTAATCTGCACCTTGCACCTGACAACGTAATCGATTCCAAGATTTTTCATCAAAGAACTTATTTTATTAGAAAGAAACTATTCAATCGAATTCGTTGCCATAATCCTTTGATGCAATAAACGCTTTGATCGAAGCAATGCAATATTAATGTTTGTAGTTACGAATGGTCATACAATGACACAGTTCACGTTTTTCTTGAAAACATTTACCGATGGAATTGAAGCTCCCACTTCAAAGATAATATGGAGGATTTGATGGCTTTCCGGATGACCCGGGCCGGAACCTAAATATAATAAATAAAATAAAAAAAAGATGTCGTTATTATTTTGATGGTGTCGACTTAGAGAAAAACCATCCCGTTTCCGTGTGTGTGTGTGGTGAATGGCGGCTGGAACATGGGCAGCAGCGTTCCCTAAGTATTTTGAAGGTTAACGACAAATGATATACCAGTATACTGCGATCGGCAATATGCATTTACCACTGGTAGAGCATATTGTCAGCCCGCACGGATAAGCGTCACCACCCGGCTTATTTCTAAAGAAAACACACGTTCCAATTCTATAGTATACCTTGTTGACAGAAAAAACGGAAATCGAAGGTAGTCTTTCGTCAATTGGTTGAACTTTCTTGAGGTGCGCTTCATCTTAAGGATCCCTGGCCAATCCACAGACAACAAATGAGCGACTTTTACTTAGGACAAAATAATCAAATCTTTAATGCCCACATAATATAATATACTACATATAATTAAACTATGTATTAGGTAAAACCAAAAGATTCTACCAAAAAATATACCGAGATCATACCACAGAAGAAACTTTAAATGATCATAAAATAAATTGGCGTGTTTTACGGTGTAACAAGTCGACGTGTGGGCTTAGGGACATCGATCTGAAAGCAACTAAAAGCTCAACATTCCAGAAGTAATGGAGAGAAAATGCGTTTTGTATTCGCATTCCTAAAAGTTTCTAAATTCTAAAAACTATATAATATTACTCAAAGGGATTGAATTTTAAAAAAAAGTTGCCTCTTGCTTTTGCGTGTAACATTTGTGTAATGCTTTTCATAAAGCACATTAGATTGTAGTAGATTTAGACTTATAATGGGATACATTTTTTTTTTACAGGATGGAACAATATCTGCTGAGCCGAAGTCTCTTCAGTTTCATTAGGACAGGGAAACGAAAGTACTCTAGCTACCGTCCATTGTGGGATGATCTTTGGTTAGGCTGCATGGTGAGCTTGGGTAGCTTGGAGCCTTTTCAGACTATTCCTTTCGAGCCCATTCTTGGGAGTAACGACAAAGGGAACATTTTCCACCGGGTGGGTAAAATTGCTCGATTTCCGGACGGTGTTGCTGTAAATGTCATAATCGTCAATCAGGCATCTGTCAATTCTCATAGAACCCGTCGCTTGCGACGAAGGGTTCGGCGAGTAAATTAACCCACAGACACAGCCCACTGAGTTTCTCGCCGGATCTTATCAGTGGGTCGCGCTTCCGATCCGGTGGTAGATTCTGCGAAGCACTACTCTTGCTAGGGTTAGTGTTAGCAACGACGTNGCTTACAAACGGGCCACTAAGTTGCCGAACGAATTCCAGGAATTTAGGGGTCCGCCCGTTCACAAACGGCGGTGCGACGCAATTAGCACAGGTAGTCACTTCCGAGAAAACACTTGGACGCCAGATGTGCCACGAACCGAGGTCGGGCGATCGAACGAACAATGAGCACGTCAGCACGCGGCGAGTGCTTGGATCGGAATGTCATGAGATGTTAATGTAACCCAGTTTCCTAGTCTGACACAGTAAAGTAAACTCGGACGGTGAGTCACGGCCTGTCATGTCCGGTCGACCTCACTGCGCCCCACACTTGAGAAACACAGGAAACTTGCATTTTGTGGCATCTCGCTTCCCGCAAATGTGTAAGGTTCGGTTCGAGTAAAAGTTTCGCAAATATCTAAGAATCGACAGAACAGTTAATCTTGATCGCACACAGAAAATAATATGACAAAAACATGTCGACGGGTGAATTGAAGTTCGATTAAAAACATCGAACTGTTGATGTTGATACCAAATAAAATGCAACTTTAATTACAAAGATAAATGTCGCGTATTAAGTGAAATGTCGCTTAAACCAAATGAGTCGTCTATTATCAAAGGCGGCAATCTGACTTTTGAACAATATTGGTAAATCAGAAAAACGAATTATTGACTTTGTATTCCATTGGCAGTCACAAAACTCTTCGGAACGACATCTTAGATAAATAACAGGTTAACTATTAAGCTTTATTTAATGCAGGTTTTGAACCGTATTCTTTGAAGGAGACGATTATATTCAAATCAATCTGTATTGACATATCAATAACATTTTTTTGTCCAAATGCACAGATTGCCACCTTTGTTAATAGACGACTCAAATAGCCTTTCACCCCTCGTAGCCCCCCGCCCCGCGATGTTTTTAAAGTAATCTGTAATACAAAGGAGACTTCAATTTACCAAAGATCTTCCTTCCACCAGAGACAAGACAGGTAATTAAAGAAAGATGAAAGTGTCTAGCAGAAATAATAATAACTTGAGAATCACTCATGCTTATCCGACTCTAAACTAGGATACTAATCCCACATACAGGACAAATAATCTGTTTATCAAACAAATTTGAAATTGAGCCCACGAACCTCAGCCCAGTAGTCACAGACAGTGGAAATAGTATGCAGTGACAAAATATCAGACATTTATAAATATATAGCATAATATCAAAGGAGCCTTAACAATATATTACCAACAACTGTCGATGACGGGAAATACATTTTTTTTAAAAAAATTCACAGCATTTTTAAATTAAAAAGAAGTTAAATAATATCACCAATTATCATTTATTTTAACTACAAAGTTATGCCGACAGAAAAAAAAAGAATAAAGAAACTTTATTAATGAAAAATGTAATACATTGTTTATTTGTAATTGCTATGTTTAGTGTTTGACTTTATCAGTCGAAGGTAGGTTCAGTTTGGCAGCCAGATCGTGTGGTACGTCCAAGTATGTCCTTTCGAGTCCCACGGTCAGGATGAGAGCCTTCAGACGGCCGACCTCCACGGAGTCTCCTTCGCTGGACCAGACAGTCATTGAGGAATTCAAGGACGCTGTCTCCCGAAGCAGGTCCAAAAGTACCGGTTGACTATTGCAGGCAAGACCTGCGCGCACCTTAGAAATATGAAAGCATCATTGAAAAACATAATGTACCTATTTGTTTTTCAATTATTTAACTCCACGTTTAAAATTTCAAAGATACGCCGATTACGTTTTGTGTAAATTCTTATATAAAACAGTGGGAAGGTTTGAAATTTTAAATATTATTTTTTACTTTAAACATTTGTAATTTGTAATGAAAATACAATTTTATTTTTTTTATTGCCCTTGTAGGCAGACGAGCATACGGCCCACCTGATGGTGAGTGGTTACCGTTGCCCATGGACTTCAGCAATGCCAGGGGCAGAGCCAAGACGCTGCCTACCGAATTATAATCGAGACTTTGATTTAACGGCCGTCTGGTGTAGTGGTAAGTGACATGGTCACTACAGAAGGGGGTCGCGGGTTCGAATCCCGCCAAGGGAAGATATTTGTATGATAAATATAAAATGTCTTTTCCAGGGTTATAGATGTATATTAAATATATATGTATGTGTATAATAAAAATCTTACATTTATTTCCGTTATCTGGTACCTGTAACACAATTTCTTTACGCACTTAACACGGGACCAGTTAACGTGGCGTGATTGTTAGTACATATTTATTTATTTAAAAAAAAAAAATATCTCATGTTTCAAAATAGATGCCATCAATGGCGTTCATAGTATTTATGGGCGTATTAGCCAGGTGACATCAGCTCATGATGTACTCTTACAAAACAATAAAAAAAAAAAAAAATTCAAACACGACAGCATTTGGCGCCATATATTTAAAATTTGACAGTTTTCGCAGTGTTGCTACTTTATATAGAACACTATATTTAGTAGATATTCATTAATTAGAAGTAGATTTTAAAAATTACGTTACCGAAATTTGTACTGAAACATTATTGTTTTATAGGATCACGTAATTAAACTTACTGGGAATGTGATAGTCTGATTGATTTTCTGTTCATTGACTAATCTCAGCATTGAACCAATTTGTTCAGGAGTATACTCCCCCTCGGTGATGTTACCACCGTATCTAGTGGTCCAGCCCATAGATAGCACAGCGCGAGGATGATTCGCACCTAGTTCTATGAATTTGATGGGATCAACGGGGGTTGTTGTCGCTTTTACTGGACCAGGTAGAATGTCGGCATTTAACCATAATGGGAAAGTCACCTATGAAATATACAAATACATTTTAGAATAAAAAGATAAATGGCTGCATAACACTAATGACTTTTTCCGAATATAATCCTAACTTTCTATAAATGGAAAGTACCATAGCAAGTTAGGACCTACTAACGTCATATATGTAATGGTATAAAAAATTGACTTTACTCATGGCACAAGTGTGTTCCCAATTTATGATTTTGTCATTGTGCATTCACAAATGTTTATCTACAACAGTAAACGATACTCTATGCCGAAAAACAACAGCCAAACTGTTTTTTTTTGTCTCCTACACACCTGAGGTTTACTGTAAGGAGCGATCAGCTCCTGGCTCTTAGAAAGCACTTCAATACTTTTAAAGTCAAGCTTAACTCCTTTCTGTTTATTATTAACGTTGTTATATTGTGCCACCGTCGACAGAAATTCAGCCAATGACAGATCTGACGTGGTTGCTGGAGGATGAGCCATTATTGGTATTGGAGGACCGTCGTGGCCTGTTAGATGTCCCAAAACAATGTCGGCTTCTAGCATTGCAACTTCACCTGGAATGTTAAGCAAAAGGCACATATAGTTTAAGATTCACCTTATTCAACATTTTATAAGCAGGTACATATACCATTCTGGTTAATCCTGCCACCAAGCAAACAAAGAATGAGCTTATCTGTATTCCATTACAATTGACCATCTCAATCAATTCGTCTCAAGCTAGTGGCGGTATTCACTTCCACTATGAGCTAAAATAAATACTTTATACTACATGGGCCACAAACTAACATGTTCATTTATTACATTAGAAATAGTTCAGACAATTATTAGTTGTCAATTTGTATTTGCACAATAGATAAAATAGAATAAAAACTTTCGAACTTGTCCATAATTTTTTTAAATCATTTTATTTATTGCCTTAATGGCTTACACAGTAAATAAGATTAAGCCTATGGAAACAAGTTATACAATCAAATGATTAAAGTATAGCATCCGCAACAATGCAGTTTGAAATTGAGCTTGATCTGATTCCATTCGTATGTCATAAACTTACTTGCTAAGGCAGCTTCCAAATATGTTTTGTTGTTGACGGCGTGCGCCCAAGTAACTGTTGTTAAGTTCTTCATAGTTTCTTCTTCACAGGTCACGAATGTAGCTAAAATTGTTAATTAATAACATCATCGCAAGCCTGAGAGAATTGCTACCATTATTAAGCATCGACATTGCATTTAAAAAGTAATAGTGAAAATTTCTTAGTACGTTTTTTTTTCAACACTGACAACATTTTCATCTGTCAATTATTCTACTGAATTTAAATAAACCATTTGTGAGTCACCGTCATGTATGCAGTGAACGATAAGAAAATAACGTTTTCATTATAAAATCGTTCTCACATTGATATTCGTCCGTTTAATTATAAACCAAGTATGTAATAAATCTGAGATGTTAGTACCTGAATCTAATGCCTTATGTTCTTCATTAATCAAAATTAAAATCTAAATAAGATAATCACGTAAAAATGAATCTTAAAAATATATAGATTACACTATAGTTTGACAGCCAATCCACTTATCACAGATTAGATTTAAACGATGACATTCCAAGGTAAGAATACGTCTTAATATAATCATATTATTCAATTCAAATAAATAAATAATATCAAACACTTGTACTTTTACAAATACTTTAATAAAAGATTCAGAATCGTAATAGTTTTAAAGAACAAATTGTTGAATATTTCTCTCAAGAGATGGCGTTAGTTACTGCATGATGGAACCTTTTTAGTGGAATATCACAATGAAATTCATTGATTTTGTGCTAACGCGAAACTTGAGTATATGGTATAATAACATATTAAATAACAACAGTATGTAACTCAAAATACTAAGTATAGATTTTCAAGAATTTATTGCTTAGGGTACTTTAGTACACATTCTATATTTGGAATTTTAGTGATTATCCACGTCAATACGGATCCACCCGATCCATTAACGGTGCTTTTAGGCACCGCAAGCACCGGTCACCGTCCGTCCTCGTCGAACCCGTCGCTTGCGACGAAGGGCTCGACGAACGAATTAACCCATAGACACAGCCCACTGAGTTTCTCGCCAGATCTTCTCAGTGGGTTGCTTTTCCGATCCGGTGGTAGATTCTGCGAACCACTGCTCTTGCTAGGGTCAGTGTTAGCATCACTCCGGTTTGAGCCCCGTGAGCTCACCTGCACATGTTAGGGTGAAGCTGAAATAGCCTCTCAAGGCTATCAGCATAGGTAGGAAAAAAAAGTGATTATCTTCGCTCAGTAAACACTACAGAAGTTGTATAGTTAACGTTTGAAGGGACTTTTTTCCCGTACCTATTCGCTGGTAGGCTACGGGGTTATTCCAGCTACGCGCGGATGGTTAGGTGAGCTCCCGGGCTCAACCTGAGAGAATTTTCTAACACTAACCCTGGCAGGAATAGTGCTTCGCAGAATCTACCACCGGATCGGAATCGCGACCCACTGAATACTAGTCATATTGTATGAGTATGTATCAACATATTGTATGAGTGACTTTGGAGTTATCGACTTCATAACCATCAAGAGAGACGCTGATCGCAATGACCTTCACGGTTAGGTATTGCATAGATTTAGAATATGTACAGTTTTCAATTCATTAAAAATGCCAAAGGAAAGCTCTGAAGTCGTCATAGCCTAAAGGATAAGGCGTTCGGTGTATTCGGATCAAGCGATGCGACAGTGTCGATGTTCGAATCCCGCAGGCTGGTACATATTTTTGTAATGAGATCCCTAATCCACAAATGTTCACGAATGTCTTCTAAGATGAAGGAATCACATCGTGTGATAAAAATTAAACCGGCAAAATTATAAGTTGCGTAATTACTGGTTGTATGACGTATTATGAGTCCGCACGGGTAGGTACCACAGACCTGCCTAATTCTGCCGTAAAGCAGTAATGCGTTTCGGTTGGAAGGGTGGAGCAGCAGTTGTATTTAAAAAATTGAGACCTTAGAACTCAAGCCTCAAGGTGGTTGGCGGAATTTACATTGTAAATGTCTATGGACTCCAGTAAACACTTCACACCCGGAGGGCCGTGAGCTCGTCCACATATCTAGGCAAAGAAAATAAAAGATTCGTAAACGGCCCACGCCGACCTTGATTCTACAATAAACTACAGTAAAATATATTTATCTGCTATATTCATTCTTACGAAAGTTTCCAAAGTGAAATAATGTGTGTTTCAGTTTTTACTAAGATCAAAAGTTGTTAAACATCAAAGTAAAATGTGTTGTAAGAGGTTAGTGAACAGGAAAGGATAGTCCAAATGTATTATTAATATTCTTTAAATATTAAAGTATCTACGACACATAATATTCATGTGTGTATTAGTACCCAAAAAAATGCTATAATAACAAAATTCGAGAAGAGAAATTGTTCTTGTCTTGTCCTTTTCGAAGTATCTTTTTTGCATATTTGTCAATTGGATTATAATTATGAGAATGACATAGAGTGCTTTTATTCTGTAAAAAAATAAATATGTTTCCCCAATTTTAGATTTACAAGCCACGGTACATCTCTAGCTATTTATAATGTAGGTAATAATATTAGAAAAAAAGGGTATTTCATTTGGTTTTTTTGTTTCAAGAAGAAAAACCTAAGATCAAAATTAAATATCTGATAAGACAACATGCGTCCGTTTAGTGTCTATATTCAATAATATTATTAAATGCAATAATAATAAGTAGCGTTCAATAAACGGTTTTAACAGAAAATGATTGCTTTATCCGGTAGCGTTGAGGCACGAGAAGAAAACCGACCATTAGCCTAAGTAGAGAAACTTACCTGTGACAAACAGGATTATGACAAGAAACATTGTTATTTAATATATTTTTTTTGTTTTAATCAAAGAACTATGTATTCACGAAACAACACGTCACTTATCGGCAGGATGGCGGGTCCTCTGTGTCCTCTCCGCACCCTGGCTACCTGTTAATTGGTAAATTGTCCAATCTAAGAGCCAAGGACTTTTTGCAGACGAACGTCATCGGTTCGGGCTGGACTGGCTCGCGGTTACGGATTTGTTTGTGTTTAAAAAAAAAATGATAATACGGATTTATGTCAGCCATGTTTGCTTGGTGCCATAATCGCCACGCTTGGCATGCGGGTTGGAGATCGCAGTGTTATGTTATTTGTGGCGAGTCTTGAGAGAAGCCTATGGCCAAACAGTGACCGTCTGTGGGCTGATAAAACTACGGATTTGGTGTAAAGCATTGTGACGCTAATCTTATTAGCGGTGAACCATCGATGTTAATTTACGAGATTCACCCCGATACCAAAGTAACTGTAACAAATCTACTGAGTAAAAACTGTAACAAAGATACGGAGAACGATTCTCGTGGGGTATTGTAGCCAATATTATTACTGTCTATACCGGTGAGATATTGTAAATTGACATATTATTAACTATCTCAATTTTGTTTACCAGAAACTGTACCTCTAAAGCAATTGAAGAGACAGTTTCCTCAAGGTTCAAAGCTTTTGCTGTGGCCAATAAATGTCACTGCGTGGAAGTATATGTGGTACTAGTTTACCACTAATGTAGTAAATACCAAATCAATTTAAACTATGAAGGAATGTAAAATTCAATCAAGTAGTCGTCGTGGCCTAAGGGATAAGACGTCCGGTGCATTCGTGTTGAGCGATGCACCTGTGTTCGAATCCCAGGCGGGTACCAATTATTCTAATGAATTACGTACTCAACAAATGTTCACGACTGACTTCCACGCGGAAACGGTGGTAGATTCTGCGAAGCACGGCTCTTGCTAGGGTTCGTGTTAGCATCGTCGTCAGGTTTGAGCCCCGTGGGCTCACCTACTAGTTACGGTTACGCTGGAATAGCCGCTCCAGGCTACCAGCTTAGGTAAGAAAAAAAAAAGGTGAAGGAATAACATCGTGTAATAAAAGTGAAACCCGCAAAATTATAATTTGCGTAATTACTGGTGGTAGGACCTCTTGTGAGTCCGCGCGGGTAGGTACCACCGCCCTGCCTATTTCTGCCGTGAAGCAGTAATGCGTTTCGGTTTGAAGGGTGGGGCAGCCGTTGTAACTATACTGAGATCTTAGAACTTATATCGTGGGGCAGCCGTTGTAACTATACCGAGACCTTAAAAACTCATATCTCAAGGTGGGTGGCGGCATTTACGTTGTAGATGTCTATGGGCTCCGGTAACCACTTAAAACCAGGTAGGTTGTGAGCTCCTCCACCCGTCTATGCAATAAAAAAATAATAAATAAAAACTAGACTGCGTTAAGAAAAATGCTTTAGACAAATACAAACAGACATATTAAGCATTCTGTTTAAATTATATATATCATCTGAACTCGGATGGATCTCTATATACCTACGTACATACCTATCTCATGTACGTTACATTCGACTTATCTGCCTTGTGTTTCTGATTATCTCGTCCTCTGTTAAGATCTATATTGTTAGTTGCTTTGGTGTCACGTTTTTTGTCGGGTAACAAAATATTTTTTTTATTTTTTCCGATTCATATTTGAAAATTTCTCTTGCTGTTTCACGGTGAACCCTTGCAGTTTGCGTCATTAGCAGTGAAAGGAGGTCGTAGAATTTCTGATAAATACTTATGACCTCTTTAGGTATACTTTGCAGCAGATTAAGGCAGGATTGTGTTACGAATCGGTGCGTTTTCCTAATGCATCCTGTGAGCTCGTCCACCCATCTAAGAAATAAAAAATAAAAAAACTACCATACTACTAATAGAAATCAAATGAAATCTGAAAGTAGTTTCATCCAGTCATGATGAAAATAGGTTTACCAGCAGTGTAAACCGGACAAGTGAAAGACCCGAAATAAGTGGATGATAAGATACACAGGCTGATCTGAGTGACGCGTCCTTAGACAGTCCTAAACATCCAGCGGTCGTTTTATTTAAATTAATAGGCGATAAAACGAAAAATCTGCTTGTATCTAGCGCGTAGCAATCACACGTTCCGGTTGAGTATGGAGACTTTGACCTTCCCTCAAGGTGGCATCCGACCCAGTTTTTGATATGGGTTACGGACAACGCCCTTGATTATTTCCTATATGGCTTTGTGGAAATATAGCTATAAGTTTTAGCATTTCGAGATACTCAAATCAGGGGTACTTAGGTACTTACTTTTACTTACTTTACTTACTTACTTTGCTCTGAGGAATTGTTTGAGATGATTCCAGCATCTCGTTTTTACCATCGCACCGCCTGCCACCGGAGTAGAGTTCATCCATACTACCTGGAGCCAGTGCGTCCATCCACAATGCGCTTCCAGAGACCTTTTTGCCACGTACCATCCGGATTTGGAATGAGTTCCCCTCTACGGTGTTTCTCGTGCGTTATGACATGTCCTTCTTCAAATGAGGCTTGTGGAGAGTATTAAACGGAAGGCAGCGGCTTTGCTCTGCCCCTGGTATTGCTGACGTACATTAGCAACAGTAGCAACTCACCATTAGCTGGGCCGAATGCTCCTCTGTCTACAAATGCAAAAAAAAAAACCATATGGCATGATTCGTTAAACTCGTAAAATAAAACCCATAATTACAGAATTTCTTCCTATTCTGGTTATCTGAAGCAATAAGAAGAATTTAAGGTATTAAGAGAACCAATGGGAGGAATTTAAACGAGTAAGATTTCTTGGTTACGGTATTATTTTACATTTATGATAGCCAAACGAAATTAGGCAGTCACAGGGATCTACAGAGAGAAAATTACCGGTCGTCAATCAAAAGAGTATCCAAGGTTGAGTCCCGTGAGTTCATCTGGTCTGGGCATAGTTGCAATAGTCTCTTAGGCTACCAACTATTGGGTAAAGAAAAAAGGAAGAGTAGAATGTCAATGGTTTTTTTTGTTTTTTATGATTGAAGGATTACTGGTGGCCCGGAGGCCTTTCCAAATCCACCATAGAGGATAGGTGGGCGAGGAAAGGCTCAGCCAGGAGGAGCTTAGCCAGAAGGGTGTCAATAGTATTGGCACAATGGTCGTTCACAACGTTGAAGCCGATTGCTCTACAACAGAGAAAGGCAGGCTTCCAATATCCTCTGCTGCACATTTGGAAAAGCCATAGGGGATTCAGAAGAGAAAACAATTTATTGTAACGGACGTGAGGTCAGCTGCCATGCCCTGCCGCCAAGCCACGTATTAACACCCCCCCTTTCGTCACTGCCACTGGCCAAAGCCAATGAAGGAGGGATAGTATTAATAAAACAAGCCTTGCCAGCCATTTCTGCCCGCTTTCTGCTTTCTCGCACAAATAAAAAACTTGTCGTTACGCTGCTGGTTTGTTTGTCGCATTATTTACAACATGATAAACAAATAGGAGCTAGAAAGTGATGTGGTCGGAGACGGTGACTAAAAGAAGTACATGTCTAGTTCATTAAAATCCTTTAACCACCTCGTATATAGCTTTAATACATTCAACAGAGCACTTTGTTGTGAACAACCGGTTTGCAAACATTAAGCTATACTCCTACACTGTACGTATGTAGGTACGTCAAGTATATTGGGTATAAAGAACTTTATACTCATTGCCCATAGACACAGCCCACAGAGTTTCCCGCCTGATCTTCTTAGTGGGTCGCGTTTCCGATCCGGTGATAGATTCTGCGAAGCACGGTTCTTGCTAGGGCGTGTTAGCAACACTTCCGGTTTGAGCCCCGTGAGCTCACATACACGTTAGGGTGAAGCTGAAATAGCCTCTCAAGGCTATCAGCATAAGTAGGAAAAAAAACTCATTAGAATTATTGTTCAATTCCAACTTAACTATGATCAAATTTAACTTTGGAGTGATAAGGATTGTTTACGTGATAGTTTATTTATTTATTTTTATTGCTGAGATGTGTGAACGAGCTCACAGCCCATCTGGTGTTAAGTGGTTACTGGAGCCCATAGACATCCACAACGTAAATGCGCCACCCACCTTGAGATATAAGTTCTAAGGTCTCAAGTTTATTAATTCCATTCTATGTTTGCATTATTATTGTTGTACTTTCGCGTGGCGTGTAATAAAAGATATTTATTTTGTCAATAGTATGTATTGTATGGAACTCATTTAAATACTAGTTTGATCACAAAAGCATGGATAGAGTATGACGTAAGTATATAGGTTTGCTGTAGAGTTTTTTATGAATATTTTAGGAATAGTAATTGTGGTTTTTACAAGAGACTTATCATTATGTAGAATGTGCATTTCTAAGCTGAAACAAAAAAGCGTTATAGAATGTTAACTATTACTGAATGAAACAAGTTACTTAAGGGAATATTTAAATTTTTATTTACAACTATAATTCATAATGGCTTCTTGTGAAACATAAAATATCTTTATTAAAATAACATAAANAGTGTGTATTGTATGGAACTCATTTAAATACTAGTTTGATCACAAAAGCATGGATAGAGTATGACGTAAGTATATAGGTTTGCTGTAGAGTTTTTTATGAATATTTTAGGAATAGTAATTGTGGTTTTTACAAGAGACTTATCATTATGTAGAATGTGCATTTCTAAGCTGAAACAAAAAAGCGTTATAGAATGTTAACTATTACTGAATGAAACAAGTTACTTAAGGGAATATTTAAATTTTTATTTACAACTATAATTCATAATGGCTTCTTGTGAAACATAAAATATCTTTATTAAAATAACATAAACTTAACACAATTTAGTAAAATCTACAACGTTTTTTAGGAATATTCGTTTTGGTATTATGTTAAAATAATTATAAAACATAATTTTTACTAATTGCAACAATATTATAATTATTCTAGGGTTACTCACGTTGTAGGTATCTACTAACATAAGTGTGCTTAGTTCGAGTTTTTTTAAACGTTCTCGATAGCGTAAAAGTTAACTCAAATTTGTATGGAGTTGGAACGTTTTTCCACGTTTGCCGCTAGGGGCGCTGTTCCAACTCCATACAAATATG